CCCACATTGCGTCTGGGGTACAAAACGAGCTCGCCACCGTATCAAGAATAGGCTTCTATAATGTTTTTTTTTTCTTTTTGCTGCTGTAGCTGCGCGCTTTTATTATCAAAAGAAACCACAGTAATCAAAATGGTCTTACCTTGAATGGTGTGAAAATGCAGCTGCTGCCCGTGCTCGACATGTCGCGATGGCGGCTCTCTTCCTCTTCCGTGAAGTTCTATCCTTATGATTTGTCATGACTCATGTGAAGCCCGGCAAGGCACTCGTGCTGCAGGTACTCCCACAGGCACTCGCAGCGCACGCTAAGCAAACTCTAAAGAAGCCCTCTATGCGAGCAGTGGACACCAGAGGATGCGGCAGAAATGCATTCTATCTCTAGTGTCTCACGCTACTACAGCACTGTCGCCTTCCGTGCTGAGCACGCATTTTTGTGTCCGTCCTCATCCTCACTCAGTCCGCCTCCCCCCTCGTCATGCTGCCTCGCACCTTCAGGCTATCATAGTGGCTGTTATTCCACATCTCCAGCCCTCGTGCGAGGCCATCTAGACTATTCAGGTGTTAGTGGTGTCGCCTTGGGCACCCCTTCTTCCCATGGAAGCACCTGGTAAAATGCGTTCCTCGCTCACTATTGACGGGGGACTAGCTGGAGGAGAAAGGCGCGTCGCGTTCGCACATTGTTCACTGATAGGCGCGTGGCTAATTTACTTATACGTACGTGGCTTTGGAAGTCTGCCTAGTTAGGAAGCACATGGCGGCAGACACCGGCCGTGTGTGAGAGAGGGTCGGGAGAGGAGGCAGTTGTCGTTACTTAGGTAAAAGAGAAAAATTTAGCGGACTTTAGTCTCGAGAAGCTCTTGCTTTCTGTCCTCGCAGCTGTCTTGTAGTGTGCGAGAAGTGCACACAAGGCCCACACGACGAGTGGTCGGCGTTCCTTTGTCGTGAAAAGTACTCTGGGTCGACTTACCCTTCGAAATCCAGACCTGCCTGGCGCATTTGTGCAATACGTCTTTCTAGCGCATTACCCCCGTTTACATGATCGTGATGCGCCAGTTGTCGCATTCGTATAAACGCTGTGCGTGCCGTGCCGGCTTACGGCAAACTGTCGACGCGCGGCTATACGCAAACGTGCTTTCTTATCGAGGAAAGACGAACTGGACCCCACTCCCAACAACCGTGGAGACGGCGTGCCGCCCTCTTGTTGAATGAAGTTAGTTAGTCGCCCCAGCTGGCAGCCGACTGACTGGCAGTTGCCTCGAGCTGTCAGGCTGTGATCAATTTTACACGAATGCCAGAGTAGCCCATCGACTTTGCAAGCGCCTTTCGGAAAGGTGATGCGACGCCGTTTGCAGGACCTCTCGTCTTCTGTACGCCGCAGCTACCATGTGGTGTCGGATTACAGCGAGCGAGTATCGGATTACAGCGACTTGTAGCTGGGCGAGTTGGTTTATGTAAAAGAATTAAAAAAAATAACTCATTAGCTTAGTCGTGCCTCGAGCATGGGAAACAGAAATTCGCACAATTTTCTGCGTCATCAACCACTATATAAATAGGTACATATTAGCGCGAGCAAAATAACAATGACTTGAGAAAGGAGTGGCAGAAGGCAGGAATATCTCGGCTCCCGACATTTCTGCTTCGTCCAACTTCTTTCTCGAGTGTTTTTGTTTTCTTGAGCTAATATTAATTCCTTATAGCGAAAGAGGGACGCACGAAGTTCGCACAACGGGGGGCCACCATTCCCCTCATCGTGATTTACGGCCCGTGAATCGACCGGCACTTGCAAAACTGCCCATTTTCTACGCATTAGTGCAATGCGCCTTCCATTGCTTACATGAATGCGAAGCGCATGTTTCGCACTCATGTAAACGTGTTTTATGCACACCGATGTCACCACACTTTCTTATAAACTTATCCTTTTCAGAAACGTTTCTGTTTTTTTCGAGCTACTAGGCGTAAGTCCAAGATCGGCTATTTCTACTCGTCAGCCTTATGACTCACGCTAACGAGTCAAGGAGCTGCTATCTTGACGCATTGACAGTTCTCCGCACGGCAGACTTCCCAATGACGAATTGTCAGCAGGTGCCACATGCCCTTGACATTTTTCTCTATTCTTTTTCTCCCGTTCCCCCTCCCCGTGTAGGGTAGCATATAAGCCTTTCCTTTGCCTTTCTCTCTCTCTCTCTCTCTCCTTCAGGCGAAAGCGTCGGCAAGGTGCCTTGTCGCATGGTGTTGTACACTGGCACTGAAGAAAACCAACAAGTTCCCTACTCGACGTTGCAATCCTTAGATTGAGTGGCATAAACCCTCAGTGCATAGGAAATATAGATGGGCTTCACCACTGCCGCTCCCCCACCAGACCTGCTCAGTGGGAGCATAGTCAAAAGTTATCCGCCTTTCTGCCTCCCTGAAGGACCTCACTTGTCGCGGGTGCTTCAAAGCAGAAAAAAAAGTGCCCTGGTGCCTCATTGCTGTCCCCGCACCGAAGTACTTTCTTACACCACGCCGTGCATTCAGCAAATTTCATGCCACTTCGCTTCGTTGTTACTGGCTGAAAAATCTGCAAGATTTTCAGGCAGTAGCATGATTTTAGCCAGTTTATGCAGTGAGCAACGGAATAAATATTGCTCGGTTTTGTGGTTTATTGAAACCGATGACGGATATTCACAGGCGACTCCGAGAAAAGAGTTTGCAAGCGCTCGCGTCCCCTTAGAGCGAGTTTGCAGTGATTATGAGGAGCGCCGTCATGGGGTAGTCCAGAACATTGGTGTTCGCGCATTTCGGCGCTATGGAAATGTGCGCTTGTCGTATATAAAGGCGGAAAGCGAACACGCGTCCTCAACTCCTGCCGCACCATAGTTTTCCCCAGAGTAAATAAATGAAATAAACACGCAGAAAGTACAAAACAGACTTCATCTCATTCCTGTAGGTGTGCCTCGTTTCGTGTTTGTGCTGTTTGTTGTGATGGGTTCATACCAACAAGCGCAGCACGTCTGAAGCTTCGTATATTTCACGGTAAAAAAAAGATATTCACAAATACCTTACCCACGCACGTCTGCTCAGTTCGCTCGTATCGCTCGTTTGTCGTTCGTTTTTCTGCTTTCTTCTGACTGTCGTCGCACAGCCCTCGCTTTTCGCTATAGTCCAGGGGGGTGAGGAGGGCGACAAAGACGTGCACACATAAAAGAGGGACTTTCCAAGAATTCGGCCTTTCTTTTCCCGTGAAGACGCTCACCCCATCCTCTCGGAGGATACTGCCCACCTGTTTTCACGCTCTCTCGCGGTACCGCGCAGCCTCATGAGACTCTGAGGGGAGGAAGGCTTACAGATGACGGTGCATGGTTTGAAGTTAGAAAAGACGTTTCCTCCTGAGGCAAAATGTTTTCGCACGCCGGATTCGGGGAGACAGGGAACCTTCAAATTCAGCGCTTTCCTTATTTCTGTTTAGGTGGCGCTAGGGGAAGATTTTCGTTGTAGTGATAGGAATAATGTAGTTTTCTCAATATTCCTGCAGTTCTTGTGTGCGATTTGTGTGCATAAGTATACCAGGAGGCCGTAACTGTTATATTTTAGGCTATGCATGCTTAGATTTCAGCGCTATTTCAAGATAACGATTTTGTTGATGTTTACGGCACGATAAATTAAGACAATTTGCGAGCTTTGTTTCGCATTTCTGCTTGCTTTATTGAAAAACGCTACGTTGAGGAAATAGATCAGGGGTTCTAGTTTATCCACGTGCAAATTCAGGTAACGAACTTCGGTAGTTCTCCGCGAAAATGGGCCACGGTAGGTCTATCTAATGACAATATTGCACAATTTAGATCAATATAATTAAAAAGCGAGCGGGCGTACATCAATAAAATTGAGCACTCAAACGAAAAATGCCATCCTCTATATACACCCAAAAAATGAATTTTCTCTAGCGAATAGGTGCCGGATAGTCCGCATCGACATTTACTAAATTTGGCTCTTTTCAAAAGCTAATCAGCAATACAGTAAAAGTGCTAGAATAATTTGCTACGTTGATGAAATAGATAAATATGTCTTAAATGTTCTGCGCAAAGAACAGTGCTGTATCTGGAGCAGATTTTTCAGAAAATGGTGACTGCTGACACACAGTCAGACCAAACCATGTAACTAGCGCTTATTCTTGGCTCTCCCTACCCAAATGCTAAAAGCTTACTTATTTTTAATAGATATGTTTAAAATGTACAAAAATTAAGCTTTTCAATGACACATAAACTAACTATATAAGACAAGAAGAACAGCCGCCACGTCAGTTGGAAAAGTGACAAAAACGATGTGTTCGTGCCGCCGAAGTGAGACCGCCGCCTTAAGTGCTGCACTTTTTCAGGGAAACAGACTTTTTTTTTTTTTCAGAAATCAAGAGACAAATTTCTACCCCCCCGCCCCATTGGCGTGCCGCTGCCGGCAAATTTGGTTCCGGCGCACAGGTCTGCTGAAGAGTCTCATTAATTGGGAACCTGTTAAGCAGAAATGCTGCTTAAATTCAACAACTACCTCTATCTAACACGATTCATTTCGTACTAGGATTTTGTACACCAGTTCATCTCACATTGAACGGAACTTTTGTGAAACTGAACATATTTTCCTACAGCCTCTATCTAACATGATTCGTTTCATAGTAGGATTCTGTAACCCAGTTCATCTCGCACTGAACAGACCTTTTGTGAAGCGGAATATATTTTCTTGGTCTCATCGAGCTCCGTTAATGAGTGTCTATGTTATGGCTGTGTTACTGGCATAGGTTACTTCTTTATTTCACAGTGCCAGTTTGGTTGACCACTAACAAAATGTCTTCAGTCAGTATCAGTTTTATATAGTTGTACCAGCCACAATCAATGTATGGACCGAGCAATTATTGTTTGCTGGCTTTTGCACATTGTGACGATCTTTTTTGTGTTGTGACAGGGGACAAGGGCTTACCAATGATGTGTAGTGAAGACATTTTTCCACAGCTAAAGGACTTCTCTGTTGTGTAGAATGTGCAGGATGCTCGGATGATCTTAGGGAAGGTCAAGCCTTGATTGCCTTGGACAAGCAGTGGCACATTTGGTGCTTCAAGTGCACACACTGCAATATTGTTCTTCATGGCGAGTACATGGGCAGGTATGTACGCACACTGTGCACAGAAAACTGCTTCTCATTCTGTTCTCATTCACGTGTATGCAGGACATGAGTAATTAGCCATGGGTATATTTAATTCAAGTAGGCCGTTGCATCCATGCGTCCCATATAGCTTTCAGGGAACATGTGTTGAAAATGCATTGAAAATTTGAGTTGGTGCAAATGCAATTTTATCAGAATGATTAGTATATTAAAGGAGTAGTATAGTGACTTGCAGTTGATAAAGTAGATTGCCAAAAGTTTTTCAAACTGACTTTAAGAAGCTGTAGAAACCTGACTCTATAATGGAAATCTCATGTTTACTCTAGTAGTGCACTAAATTCCTTCTTATGTTTATTAAAAGCTGCATACTTAACAGGGTGTCCACTGCATTTTGAGCATTGTAGTTACCGCGACAAGTGTATTGGTATGTATTTTGTTATGCTTTGCATCAAGCCTTTTCTCTTTGTTTTAACTAGACCAGAACACACTGCACACTCCAGTGAATGATATGTGTGAGAAAAAACACTAAATCATTAACAGCACCATTAGCTCTCACATCTACAAAGCTGTCAAGAGACCCACGCAATAATAATCGAAGCCTAATCTGCGCTATCAAAAGGATAAATGAGCTTTATGATGAATTTAGTTTTGGTGCTGATGAAGAAACATAAACAGCCACTGCCTTCCAATCCAAAGTGTTGACACAATACTCAAGCGTGGCATTCACTAGATGTAAGCTCAGAAAGCATAGAACTGTTTAACATTTCGTAGGCTTCTCTGCTGCCTGTAGGAGACTTTGTGATAAGCGAATGTCATGCCCAGTGTGGTTACTTATGAGATACCAAAAGCATATCAGTCTTTTCATGAGGATTAGTTCTTAAGATGTAATCTTGTGACTATGCAAGAATGTAATCAGACTTCATGATACTTCAGGAAGGGTAGCCTGGGGGGGGGGGGGGGTATAGAGGCCACTTACTGTTATTGATTTCTTTTCAAGATAAAACAAGCAGATAGTAGTGCAAATGAGGCTTCCATTAAAAAAAAAGTGTTCCACACTTGTTGTCATGGCCACTGGCAGTGCTGATTGACACTGCCACGTTAAAATGCACATACTTACCTCACAAAACGGGCAGGAAGATGGCCGCCGCGGTAGCTAGTTTGTAGAGCCGTAGTTTAGGTGGTAGAGCATTGGACACATTATTGTAAGGTTGCAGGTTCGGCCTCCACTTTTTTTTTCATATTTTTTACATTACATTTTCTAATACTTTCCATTAGATCTTTCTTAGTTTTCATTACTATTGTGTCTAACAGAGAAAGAAAAGGAACCCATAAAATTTCTACTTCTTCTTGTCAGCACAAAGTGTTAAAGAAAATCTACCGATAGTGGGTGGCACGTGAGGCTTGCCACTGCTGCAAAGCTTAGTGTTGAAAGTGTTCGTTGCATGCTGGTTTCAGTGGTCGCCAAGGAGCAACACTTTCCTTAAGTTCTTTACTTAGTGATATTGATTTAGCGCAACTTAGGAATTTCCAGAAGCACTGATTCATTCACACTTGCTTCCACTCAAAAGCTTACATGACACACAGCACTTACTACCAAATGTTTATTCTGTGCGACTGACCATTTTATATACCTTAGTTCCTCACTTCTTTGTGTTTGGCAATGCTAGAACTGGCGTAAAAAAATGGGTGGAAGAAGGGTGGGTTTCTGTGGTGTTCTTCCTGCATTTTGTCTTTTTGAATGCCATGAGGGGCTTGTAATGCACAATCTAGTGGCTAAAATAGGTTGCCCTGCCCCCCCACCCAAAAAAAAATGGCCCTTCGAAAGGAGGCTTAGGGTGGGACGGGGGGGGGGGGGGGGGGGGGGGGGCATGTATTTTATAGGAGTTAAATTTATGTTTAATAAAAGACATTACAGTAAATGTTTAACATGGACTGCTATTTATTGGAACACTCGCAACCACCCTTCCATCATCTTTCTTCCAGTGTGGTTGCTTGTACGCTTTCAACTTTGGTTTGTCACTATTTCTTGAGGCACCGAGCACTTTATCGCATCCATGACTATGTAACAAACTTGTGGTTGTGAAATTGAAAGTCAAGCTATAGCCATGCACACTGTACACGAACAGTGGTGAACAGAGTGCCGGCCATCAATAAAACTGATGAACAGTAAGGCGCGGTGGTATTCATACAAGCGGCATTAAAAGTTTTGTCGTTATCACTGGTGTTTGCAAAAGCTTAAAAAAAAAAACAACTTGACTATATTTGTGTTCTGCGCATAACCTTGACAGCATCATCTCGAACAATTTTTAACACTTCAGTGAACATTCATGAACATGGCAGCAAGATCTGGCCGAATGTGGCTAACAGCTTTTGTGGGTGAAACTGAATACATGAACGTAAAACAAAAAGTGGGCATGGCGACGCCCCCCTCTGGAAAGGTGTTGCCCTGTTGGTTAAAACAGAACAAGTAAGGGGGGGCGGGGGGAATGCATGCAATAAGAAAGAACAATAATGTAAACAAGCGTTAGTCCCCATGTTTCTTAAAGGGACCGATACGTGCCCAGAATAAGAATTGAGATGACTTGATGACTTCACTGATGGTAAGAGTGTATGTCACATTGACTCAAACAAACCAACACCCCCCCCCCCCCCCCACTTCTTTTTTTTTTTTTTTTTCGAGAGGTGTATTGATTCTTCTCATTTTTTTTTTATTGAAAGCTACCAAAAATGACTTCTGGTGCCTCTGGTGTGAAAAATATGAATGGTCTGATGTACCCGGTGATGTGGCCGTTAATTGTTCGCAATTGGTTATTTTTTTTGCTATTGAAATATTGTTGGTTTCTTTATATTAAATAATATTACTTCATAAAAATGTACATATGGGTGTTAGTAGTATGTATTAAAGTGACGCTGCCTTCCTGCAATGTAATAATCTCATGCTCGTCAGCATGCCTTGAAAAAATTTTCAGCATGCTCATGCAACTGTGCACGTGGTTTTCAGGTTGCTAAGATTTTGGAGCGACATAGTTTTGCTACTTACACTTCATCTCAGAAATGACATGCGGCCGTTCATATGCAAAGTGAGGTTTTCGGTGAGTTGACTTGGCTCGTTTCTCTATAGAGTAACGATGCCAAGACAAGCCACCCATGAACGAGGCAATTTTGGATGTAAATGCACACAACGCAGTACAAATACAGAGAAGGTGTATAATGCCACATCATCTAATTTTATCAGCTCGTTATTTTCAAAAATTGTTGAAAAGCTCAAAATAAAGGTGGTTGAGCATACTTAAAAAAACTCTTCTGAAGGCACAATGACGACAGCTTTCACTGATTTCACAGCATTGCTGTGTACACCTGTGTTCTGAGCCTTTTAGATTGAAAAATGCTGATTGTGAAATAACTACATGCTTTTTGGATTAACTACTGCAGCTACAAATACCACGAAGGGTGGACTTGGGAAAGCTGAGGGTGGTTTCCACCTTACTCTCCAATTTTCTGGCATCGCTTTCAGCTTATTTAAAGGCAGCCTCTAGTGACCGTGGGGACTTGCAGCAGTGCCATAAGAAAGGCAGTCGACGCTATCACTGTGGGAATCTGTCATGATTATCTCTGGAGTGCTTGCAACTGAGATGGATTGAGAAACACTGTGGTGGCAATACAAATGCACTTTATCAAACAAAAAATATGGGAAGAGAAAGCAAACACTCACAAACAATCAAAATTATCTAAATAGCACAACTGTACATAATCAAACAAGAATCTACTGTAATCCAATTTAAGTCCGCCTCTAGCCCTAGCCGGAATTTAGCCAGTATGGCTTCTCGGTAATCAAACGGTATGTCCTCCACGAGCTCATAAGGTCGTCATCAGTTGCTTCCACCCAGTGAGCCGCCTGTCCACCCAGCGAGCCGCCTGTCCTCATCTCAGTCATTGTAGTAATCTCTGGCCTAGCCAGGTTAGGCCTAACTGGTGATGGGGCAATCTGATGACCATGGTGTGGGCTGCTACTGTCCTGGCACGAAGTGGAAAAGCTTTTGGCTTACGTAAAACTTCTTGCTGCGCCCGGTGCCATTTTTTGCTGAGGCTCCTGTGGACGCGCCGCTGAATCCATAGAGGCACATGATTTCGGGCCACTTGCGCGCTCCGGTAGTGCAGCTAATTTGAAAAATGGTGGATAGAAAGAACTGATATGAACGCTCCTTAGATGATTAGTTTCTCCCAAAAGCCTAGTAAAAGTTGCATGCAACCTTAAAAGCAGCTTCATGGAGAGTTCTATGATGCAGGTGTTTCTTTTTTTCTGCCAGATCATGGCATTCTTTATGTTTGTATCATATATAGTTTCGCTTGTGGCCACTACTATAGATGTGAAAAAGGAGCAGGTAGCAGCAACCACTCACTACTGTTAGCATGAGATACATGTCTATGTCGAGAGGGCTTCCTGTGCTTTATGGCAGGCATGTGGGAAAATATTGTTCGAGCTGCATTGGTTTTCAGGTTTTCTTTCCCCCATATTCTTGTAAAATATGCAGCTCGAATTGGTCTTCAATTAAATATAGCAAGAGCGTATAGCTAATCATTCTGGCAGGATGAATGATTTCGTTTATGAAATGACAGGTGACTAACACCCTGCAGTGATAAAAATTATTGGTATAGAACTTCCTGGAATTTTTACGTAAGAATCATAATCGTAACTGACTGCCATATCTTCGTGTTGAAAACTCAGCAATGCTATAATTTCGTCTATTTTCAAGGCATTCATTATGAGAGCGAGGATGTAATGGTTTTACTATTAAAGTCGATATCACTGGCAAGCGAGCACGATCACGGGAACACCCCTTGCACGTCACCTACATGCGCAAGAAAACCAAATAATAATCAGCACCAAGTCATTTGTGTGTGGCATGCAAATTGAAAAGTAAATTGTTGGACTGAAAACAAAAAAAAAAAACACAGTGTTTGTTAGCTGACTCTGCTCATCTGCAACATCATAATTGTTC